TGCACTTTCTTGTTCTTGTGGTTTTACAGCAACATTAAGTCTTGGTCTCTTTGCAGTGGAAGGTGTTTCTTGGTGAACAGCTGGTGTCTTTTGCTTTGGCGTTGACTTTTTAAATTCGTAACCGAGGTTGAGCGAGGGATCGGGATTTTGCTTTGATGGCGCTCCACAAACAAAATGTTCGCTGCAAACTCGGGATGATTTAGGCAGTCAAAGATTACCTTTTTCGTCCATCACCTTCGCCTTTCACTATTTTTCAATTCCGTTGGGAAGGGAAACAGTTTGAACGGAGGTTTGCAGTCACACAGATAATGACTCACACTGATTCCCTTTTGCATTTATGGAGTTCGCAAACAAATTTCTCAAGCCGTTTTCCACGGTTAGGATCCAACAACCACACAATTACGATGTCCGAATCCCAAAACTAAAATATGGCAATATCAGAACCAGAAACAAAAGCGATGTGGTTCAAAAGACTTGAAAAGATCGGCTTTGACAATAGACTCATCCCACTGGGAAAACAAACATGGCGGTTTGATGCTCCCTTTTTCTAAAAATCCTTCTCAGTATGCATTGCGCAGTGACCGGAAGTCTGAGATTCTTGATGCGTGTATTGAATATTGTTACAGTCCTAATTTTGAACATTTTAAATCACTAAAAGATCAAATTAAAGAGATAAGTCTGCTGTCTTCCGGATAAATATTACTCAGACATGCATGAATCTCGGTAAATAGAGCTTTGAGTGTTTCAATAAGAGGGTAACACAACTCTTCAAGGAAACCTAGTATGATACAAAATAGATTTTTATATCTTGTAACCATGTTGCAGTTGTTCCTTTCTCATTTGGAGGTTGCATTTACAGTGATTCATTCATATTTGACTCATCTTTATTCTCCTGTGTTCAATGACGTCACCGCTACACTGGACTCTGCAATTTTCCAAACACAGAAATCAGCGTCCGCTTTTCATTTATTAGGTCGTTTTTGATGAATAATGTGATTTAAAATGTCCAAAACACTACTCAATCATCACTTGTGTCATAGAACATAAAAATACATCAGACACAAGCACAATATGTCGTGTTTAAAAGTAATTTGCGTAAAACGTCTCCTTTAAAATCATAATCACGGTACCACGGTAGATAATATTGCCAGAATCAGCCTTCCAGTCACTGTTAAATGTTAATCACAGCCCAGTCGTTGTAATATTGGAGGTTGTTGATGAGAGATGGACCCGTGCTTGGTGCTTTGCCAGTCCTCTGCTGTGGCACTGTGATCACTGTGAGGGCCTTCATTGCTTTAGATGCTGTGCAAATCAATACAAGCTCCAATATCAAAGAGAGGCCTCCGCTTGACTACTCAGAAAAGAGACCATTTCAAAGTTGGGTTTTGAAAGCCTGTCTCGTACAAAGATCTGTAATAGTTATGCACAACTTTCAAATATTTGATTTAAGTGTGTGTTTTTTTTTACTAAAACTATTCAAAAATTGGTCAATTCACACTGAATAAAGGTCTGAAGCAGGCTGCATTTGAAGTTTGTTCTGTTTATTTTCTGTAATAAAGTTAAATCTGTCATGCCTCTGTACACATGGATTTAAATTGTGACATTTTGTGATCTATACAGTGTGTTATCATGTTTCCTCCTCAAAAACAGACCTCGAGTTGTGTTTGTTTGTTTCATTCACACGTTTAACACACAAATCCTGCATATTTAGGCTGAGTTCTTCTTTCAGTCTCAAAGAAAATACTCTGTTCCACCCTGTGATGTCATGTGGTACGACAAGAAGCACTCCTGTGTTTTTAAACTTCATACTCATGTTTTAGTCAAGATCGCACTCATCGAGACCAAGACCAGTCCGAGACCACAGGGTCCCAAGACCAAGACAAGGCCAAGACCTCTGAGGGCGGAGACCGAGACAAGACCGAGATTTATAAAGGTTGAGACTGAGACAAGACCAAGACCAAATCAAGACCATCATTGTAGTATTCAACATTTACTTGTATTTTGCAATTATTTTGCCTCAACCAGGTCTAAACCAGGTCTAAATCAGGTCTAAACCATAAACCAGGTCTAAACCAGGTCTAAACCAGGTCTAAACCAGGTCTAAACCAGGACTAAACCAGGTCTAAATCAGGACTAAACCAAGACTAAACCAGGTTTAAACCAGGTTTAAACCAGGATCTAAACCAGATCTAAACCAGGACTAAACCATGACTATATCAATGTTTTTTTATAAATCTATCTCCATTTTATCACTTGTCAAGTGTCAGACCTCAAGACTGAGACCCGACACCATGACAAGACCGACACTTTTAAAGGTTGAGACCGAGACAAGACCGAGACAAGACCAAGACCACAGCCTATCGGGACCAAATCCAGGCCATCTTTGTCATTTTCGACATTTATTTGTATTCCACTGTTATTTTGGTACATATATATCGACATTTTTATAAATCTATCTCTATTTTACCACTGGTCAAGTGTCACACCTCAAAACCGAGAGAAGACGGAGTCCGAGCGTGGTTGAGTCCAAGACCAAGACCGTAAAAAATGGTCTTGAGGCTAAGACCGGTCTTGAGTACTACAACACTACTTCACTCAGCTTCACTAGAATCATTTGGACAATTTCAGCCCTGGAATTGCAAATCTCTACTGAACTGAAGGTAAAAGGAGCTGTTAACATGAAAACTACCGATTCATGAGATCACAAGGTGGAACAGATCATTCTGAGCTTTGAAAATGTAGACAGACTAATAATAAAGAATTATTCAAACATGCGTGAATGAAACAAAACAACTCCAGGTCTGTTTTAGAGGAGGGAACAGTATTCTAACACGCCTTAAAGCTCACAAGAGGCAATTTTGCGTAATGTAAAACCTTTAAAATCAGCTTTTAGGGGCAAAATGAGACTTATATGTACAGTCTGCATATAATGATAAAGTGTTTTTTTATCTCTTGTAAACCAGGATGTAAAACCGGTGAGCTGTTAGCATGTGAGCTGTTGTTAACATTCAAGGTCTCTGAGCTTTGAGAGTTGTGAAAAGCGCTCATGAATAATTAGGATGTGATGAAAGTGAGAAAAACTTTGGATCTGTGCGAACATTTCAAAATCGACTAGCTCTGTATTTGCATGATTTTAAGATTTAAGTCAAAATAATAAATAAATAAGGCACAGTTTTTATTTAAAAAGAGGATATTGGACTTATGAGGGTAATTACTTGTTAATACATAACATTTAGCTTGCCATGTCACCTTTAACTGTTCTGAAAATGCTGTATTTGTTTCCGTTTTGACTCCGTTGTTCTACTCGGGCACTTCAGAGACTAAATAGGGCTAAATATGAAATGTTAACTCTTTCCACTCATGTTATGGTTTGGTATTATAGTTTTTTAACATTCAAAATACTTGTCAATGCATTTATTGTCGTCTCTCTTAAACAAAAGGCGCATATGTTCGGAAATAATCACAATAGTCTAATGAGAACTTAACAGAACGCTGTAGCTGCCTGAAAGAGATATTAAAATTCCATGACTTTTCCAAAACGTTCATTGAATTTACAAATTTCCATCACTTTTCAAGGATTTCCATGACCGTGGGAACCCTGAACATGTTTTAACTCTTTCCCCCTTGGACGCCGACTAGGAACAACCCAGACATACATGACTAGAGCTCCGAATAGAGCATAACTGCATAAAAGAAAACACATTTCCACGAGTGATTATAAATGATTTTCACACTCATGAACTTGATTGAACCACAGATATATTTAGTATCTCTGGAAACCTTAGACTCTGAACTCTTCATTTATGGATGTTTAAATGTGATTTAACTCATTTACAGGTTTATAACAGCTCACTGAAAAAGAGAGTTTACCTGGTCAGGTGCAAAATCGAAAACAAAAAACTACATTCAGCATCTGGTATATGCATGTTTTGAGTACTATATTGATAAAAACAAAATAAAAATATACTTTGTCAAAGTATTTAAATAGATTTCATATCACCAGATACAGTATAGCCAAGTGTTCACCTGTTTTTACCTGTTGTTCACCTGTGTGGACCTAATTTGTTTTTTTCCATTTAACTTATTCAACTCATTTAGCTTATTCTAATATAATAATATAATAATAAAATAATATAATAATATAATAATATAACTCTTCCTCATCAGTGGGCGCCCAATATTTGTCATCTTGTTTACTTTCTCATGCGCAGAGCTCCGCATAAGCATTTGTTGCTGTAGCAATTCGGTCATACATCGCACCTTGGAAAAAAAGACTGAAATATTTTAAAGGACTCGCCTGAGCAACATCCAGATTTCAGGGCAATTTTGGTTCATAATCGAGTATAAAGTCCCAGATAGTTTGTGTGGATATCGCAAGACTTCATACAGACGCATCACCGACATTCTCGCCTTCGTAAGTTTCACTCTCCGAAAGTGGCTATCGCTGTTTTCCACTTTATAATCAAATTCATCATCACTTTGAAATCCATAAAAGTCACTTTCTCTACACTTATCCATAAAACACGCCCGCTCCTCATTATTTCTAAAACTGTACGCCGCAATCTTTCCATTGCTCGTGTTTCGTGTTTTGTTTTTTCCAGAAACTACAATCGTCACTACTTCGATTATCTTCGGAAAAATCGGGGAAAACACGTCCTGGAATCCTACTGGTCAGCCTAATATGGGTTGTTGGGTTGTAGTGTCCCCCACCTATCACAGCCTCTGTTTACATGTGAAAAACCGAGCCGTTTCTATTGGTCGTCAAATCACGTCTTTAGTGATGCAGCAGAGGTGTCAAAACACATCATTAAGGAAACAAGGGGAGTCGTCAAATGTCGTCTTCATGGGGGAAAGAATTAACATGTGCCACTTAGTGAAAATCTTTGGACACCGCTGGTCTGAATGGCGTTTGTGTTCATCTAGTATTTACAATAACCAACACAAAGCTCAAATTTGCTACGTAATTGGCCAATAGCTTAAAGCAGAAGTTTTATACTCACATCGCACTTCCAGGCTCACGGTCTGGCTGTCCTCGCCGATGGAGTTGCTGGCGGTGCACAGGTACTGACCAGCGTAGGTGAACTGAACGTTCTTCAGGGTGAGGGAGGAGACGCGGGCATGGCTCCTCACCACGATGTTACGATCCAAACTCTACCCGAAAAAACAAAACCACAAAAACATTCACAATTACACACATAGAAGACATTTTTGTAACATTATTAGTATCTGTGTTAGCCTCCTTCAGCTATTTGGAACAAGGATAAATACCGATGAAAGGTTATTTGTGAAGGACTGAAGAAAACGTTATGTTGGTGATTTTGGTTGACTGACGGGCGATTGACCTGCGGAACAATGAGTAATTTTCTGAATATGAGATTTAGGAAGGCACAATGGCTGGAAAAGGACAAAAAAGCAGAAACAATACGCTTTGAAGGTTATTTGGGTTATTGTGATGAAAATTCAGACGCTATTGTGGTGTTAAAAGGGGTTTAATCTGCAATAATACAGTATGCAAGACACACGACTCTGTTCAGCACATAATTAAGGCTTACACATTTGATGGTGGCGATGGAGAAAGAAACTGTTTTTGTTCAACAAATTTCGAATGCATCTTATTGGCTACAAGAGCTATGGTCCACTGAAGAAACTGTAGATCATGTCCTGCACGTTGACTAATTAACTAAAAGGAGTTATGGCACCGTAAAAAAGCTCAAAATTATATTATTAACTCTCCATTCACTCCCAAAACTCCGACTCACTCAAGCTAAGCATTTTTCTTTTTCTTGTGGTCCACAATTTATTCTCATAATCTTAATAATGCAACTGTCAATCAACAATAGTCGGATATTAGAGCCAAAGGAATGACATTTCCATGAAAACAAGCCAAAGCAGGCACTCCTGCAGGCAAAGTAATTGTCAGGTTTGTGGAAATGTAAGTCTTGTAATTTCAGTTTCACAATCTTCAACTCCATCTCCACCACAGCAGCAGACCGAGCCTCCTCCTCAGCCTATTCTTCAGTACACCATTCACAGCAGAGATCTAAGGCTATGTTCAGACGGCAGGGCTTAATGCTCAATTCGGATTTTTTTGGTGGTCCTTCAAATTTCCAATTAAATGTGACTTGTATGTGATCTCCAGTGTGAACATTAAATGCTCCAAAAGTGTCCCGCATGCAGCGAGCGTGCTTAGTGTTTACAGAAAATGCCTAAACGCTGGGCTCCCAAAATACAGTCCAGTTCTTTATAAAATGGACAGGTTACACATCCACGGCTGCTTTGTTTGTTTGAGTCTTTAGCCTCCTTGTATTTGGCTTGCAGGCTCTTTATTTTTCGTTGACACTGGAGCCAGGACCGCCTGTAGCTGCGCTCGGCCATTTCTTTGGCAATCATTTCAAAAACTGTCCAGTTCTGATAAGACCCCTCCAATTTAAGCCTCAAACCCCATGAAAAAACGAAAAAAGCGCCACAATCCAGAGCGCCCTATACACAAATCTACTCGGGTGTCCCAGCACGACTTCAGTAAATTACAAAGCCGCACCACCCACAGCACACGCAAACCTGCACGGAGCAGACAGCGACCGAACCAAAAAAGCGAGTGCAATGTGCCACTTTTAGACACAACTGAACAACTGAGTCACTGTGAACACGCCGACAATCCAGCGGTTCCAGACAGCACCCTCCCTACACGCCACAACTGAACAAAGCCCAGAGTCACCAGTGAATGCCACAAACAAACAAACCACTCACCCATCCAACTGTTTAAAGTCCGGCGCGGTTTATTTGTGAAAAAAAAAATTGAAAATAGACCATTTAATGACAGTGCGCCTTATAATCCAGAGTGTCCTATAGTGTGGAAAATACGGTAAATACAGCGATCCTTCCAAATATTAATGAACTCACTAACCTCGCTTTGACTAGACTCCGATTCTGACGTGTAGGTGGGATGAATATGACCTGACCGTTCAAACTGAAGTCGCATGTCAAAAAATTGGATATGTATCGGTTTTAGGAGCACATATCCAATTGGACTGGGTCACATTTGAAAAAAATTTGATCTGTGTCATTCAGACTGTTATTAAAAGATCAGATACAGGAGCACAGGGGTGAAATAATCTGATTTGGGTCACTTCAGGGTGTAGTCTGAACGCCTGAACTAATGACTGCCTCTTCCTAGTCATGGTTAAACGAAGAAGCCTCATAAACTAACACTAAGTGAAATAGTAGTTGCCTGATCGATGAAGAATTATCTTCCTGCAGCTCTCACACACTTTCAGTCTCTTTATTACACTTACACTCATTTTGAATTCTAAGTTTACACACAAATGAACCCAGCACACAGCTTTAACACGTGGAATAGCAGCCACGGTATGAATATGCATTTTCCACTGTGTTCTTCTCTGCGCCTCGGTAAAGATGTACGCTTTTAAATATTCATCAGGAACAGGTGCAAAAACCTACTTCACTTGTTTGTGAGAAGGTAACTTCCTGTTCTCACCTTTGCAAGTTTGAAAAATGCAAATGATACATCAGGTTTTTTTTTACTGCCTATCTCTGTTCACATGATCGAAATAGATGTTGTAGATGTGTTAACTGTTAAAGCTACAGTATAGAACTTTCTAGAGGAGGTATGGCATGATTTAATGAGTGTGTTTACATGCACATCAGTATCCCGGTTATGATCGGGTTTTTTGAGGATCCAGGTTTCAGTATCCTAGTTATCAGAAACCAGGATACTGTAGCTGATATATTCTGATAGTAACCGGGATACTGTGGCATGTAGACGCAGTATTCCGGTTACTGCAGCATGAAGTTGAGTGCACACGTGTCCAAAAAACAAACACTTTTCAGTCTTTTCATCACAACAGTAGCCAAAATAAATTAAGTGACCAACATAAATAAAGTGACCATCATAAATAAAGTGTGTGAAGTGACTGTTAAATAAAGAACTGCACTAAACTTGCACACGTACAAACTCGGGGTGACGTGTGCTTTCAGGCTGTGGCTCCCAAATTATGGAATGCCTCGCCCCTAGCCCTACGTGAGGCAGACTCTATAGACTCTTTTAAAAAGCATCTCAAGACGCTGTTATTTAGACAGGCTTTTAGTTGACTGTGTCTGTAATTCCTCTGTTCTGCACTTGTATGACCTGCATACGTCTGATCTCCGAAAAGTTAAACATGAACCATCTCCAACGCGATATACACACAGAACAGACTCACTATCATCAGCACCTCCTGTCACAGTAAGAACACTCATATTCCACTGAGTCGTGTCCTTTAGTCCGACAGAAGCTGAACCGCATCAGCGCACAAGGAGCGAGCTGTTTTTTTCAGTGCTTATAGTTTATGGAAATGAGCCATGTGGTTTTAAGTTTTGATTCTGTAAAACGTAAACAAATGTGTCAAAGCTGCATTAAACACATTATAATCTCAAATGGGCTGATGTGGCTCTATAGTGGTTTTGGTTTATATGTTGTAAAGTTGAGTTTATTTATGCAGGAGATTTTAATGAAGAATCTGCTGCAGTGTAGAACTTGTACAATAGTGTTTGGAAACATTCGGTTTGATCTGTGCAGTGGATCATAGCTCCTTATCGCCGGTTAGGAATGTCCCGAGCTTCCTATGCCTAAAGGAGCTGATGGTTGTTTGTATTTTTTCTGGTTTATTAAGTATATTATTTTTGCACTTGTGCATTTTCAGACTGTGTCAAGAAACCGGGATACTCCATTTGATCATGTACACAGGGATTTGAGCGTCCTGGCTTCTCAGTACGCATGTATACGCAGTATCCAGAATACTGCCATAACCAGGATACTGATGTGCCATACTTTGAGACATTCTACATGAAGATAAATATGTTTTGTGCCATGTTGAGGAAGACTGTAGTCAAAGGAACATTTCCATGGAAACAACCAGTAAGAGACCCTCCTCCAGGTCAAATAAGAGTCAGAATTGTTGAGATGCAAGTCCACTCACGGCAAGGATGCGTGTTTTTCTATGTTCTTCAGCACAATAAAAACATCCAAAAAGTAAAAACAAAAAAATATGCTTTTGTCCAAGTCTAAAAAGTTACAAATAGTCACTTCAATTACAATGGAAGACTAAAGATTTTCCACTTTTGATCGTCTTTCCTCAGACGTATCCATTCCAAAAGCTCATTAAATTCCAGATACAGTTTGCAGAGGTTAGTTTAATTTCAGCAGAATTATGTAGAAAATTAAAAAGAGAAAAATATAAAATTCATTTGTTTATTACCCATCAGCACCTTGAGATTCATTTAGCAGTGGTCATTCATTACACAGGGAGAGGAGATGAAAGTGATTAAACAGCACTCCAAACGACGAGTGGCTGTCCAATGCCATTATTTGTGCAGAGAAATCAGTGACAGTTAATATTAAAGTTAATTGTGAAAATACCAAAGGGGTTGGGTGTCAAAATTTCCAAGGCTGTTTGCTTTTCGAAACTAAAAAGGCATAAAGAAAGAGAAATATAATGTTTTTCTCTCAGAAGTTGGAAACGTGGGGTTGTTTTTAATGATTGTAAAGCACTTTTTATTTTGTTTTCTTCTTTTTTAATATGAAACATGGTTTATAAATGAAGTTAGACTGATTGATTCTTAGTAATAATCTATAACATACAGAGATACGGAGCTGGGGACGACAGTGGTCTAGTGTTTAGAGTAGTGCACCCCCTCGTTGTGTCCTTAGGCAAGACACTTCACATTCCACCTTGCTATAGTATGACTTTTGCATGCGAGTGTTAATGGTGATGCAGATTGGCTCCCTCGCTTCTGTCAGCCTGTCCCAGGGCAGCTGTGACTACAATAGCAGTTTACCAAAACCAGGTGTCTCAGGCTCAAGTACATTTTAGTAACATATATAGTACATATATAGGCCGCACCTGAATATAAGCTGCAGGTGTCCACGTCTTCAAGAACGTTTTCAAGTTTGCGCCGTTTGCTTTCATCACCTCTTTTGTCACCTTTTTGCATTTAGTCAGTTCGTCACGCTGCTGTCGCCAAAGTCTCACTCTCGACTCACTGATGCCGAGCTCAAGTGCAGCGACTCTTTTAGTTTAGAACTGTCACTTGTTGTTTTTTTTCATTGTTAAATTTGTGGTGTCACCTGCCTGGGGACTACAGATGGAAATGAG